CGTAAAAACGGTTGAAATATGGTTTTCTAGACGTAAAATTACTCGCTGAACACGATGCAACTAGTTAGAATACTCTACGATGCATAGTTTTTGAGATATTGAGTAATAAAGTTAAGAATAAGGCTAAAAGTATAAGGCACTATATCCGATTTTGACCAAAAATCAAAATTTTTTGATTCTTATAAAAAACTAGTACTATATGTAAAATTAACCGGAGAACACGCCTGGAAACATCGTTTTGACCTTGGACTCATAGTTTTTGAGATATGAATTTTTTTTTGAAAAAACTAAAAATGGCTCTGAACCCGGAACCATAACCCGGAGCGACTTCCGGTTTGCGCCAGTAAATAGATAATTTTAAGCTAATTTTAATGGTTTTTAGCTTTTTGCTCTAAGTCCTATAGTTTCGTCAAAAAACGCATTTAAAGTTTCACAATTTTGACAATTTTCACTTTTTGAACGACGATTACGGCCAAACTATTACACTTAGAGCAAAGAATTTAATTCCATCGTAATCAGCGTAAGAAAATCTATCGATTGAGGCCAAAGCCAAGTCGATATCTCGCAAAAAAAATTTGAATTTTTAAACGCCGATTACGGCGAAACTAAATGAGATAGCGGAAAATAATTGGGAAATTCGTAATTAGCGCGTCAAAATCTATCGGATAAGATAGGTTTAAATTGAATCTGGGACATGTTTAAAAACACTAGTTTTTAAGGGGGAGGTGTTAACAATTTTTTCGTTTTTTTTATTTTGTAAATTGCGGCAAAACTGTGTCTCAATGACATAACATTTTGACGTAAACCTATGTAAAATGTTCCGGGGAATCGATTGGCGTCAAGAAAACTGTAAAATTCGTAATAGTTTTTAAGTTATAGACCTATTTAAATTTTTAATATTTTTAAATTTAACAGAAATTTTCTCGATAACTATTCATCGTAGAGCACTGAACTTTTTAGTATATGATAGAGAATTCATTCAATTTTCTTTCCAACGGTACCAAATATAAGAGGATATCTCTAATCAGTCCGGAGTTATTGCCATTAAACCGCTCGGGGTGCCAAAAATCGACCAAAATCTCGACAAAAATCAAAAAAATTTTTAACTTTAAAATTAGTCCATATAACGTTTTTTACATTTCTAGAGGTTCTAAAGACTCAAAAAATGCATAAAACGTTATTTAGTTAAGTTTTTATACAATTTTTTTAAACATTTTGATAAATTATTTCTCGTACGACTCTAACAGAAAGTAAGTTTTTTCCACCCTTATTTTCGAAAAAAAAAGAGGTAAAAATTTTCTTCTCTCATCTGTGAAAATTACATAAAAAGTGTATGCAACATCTTAGGGAAGTAAAAATTTTACCTCCCTCACAGAAACGTAAAAACATGCTGCTAGATTTAATGGTAAAACTGTGAAAAACTCGAAAAAAAAATATGAAAAAAAAGTAATATTAGTAGTAGATTTTTTGGTAAATTATTCTTTTCCAAATGTGTTATAAATTGTTTTCTACGTTTTTCATATTTCTTTACTTTCTTTTTTAATTATTGTTTTGATTATTTTCTAAATCATTCTTTTGATTTTTGCCGAAATTCTTCTTTTAATTCTTTCCAAAATTTCTATAAAATGTAGAAAAAGACTACATTTTTTTCTAGATTTTTTTTTAGATCATTTTACAAACTTTTCTCTAAATTGTTCTATACAGGCTGTTCCAATGAAAACGAGCCACCCCGAATATCTCAGAAACTAAAAAGACTTTGCAAAAATGCCAAAAAAGGTCAATTTTGTTTCAGATGGGGACATTTTTTGACGTAATTTTTAAAGCACCCCCTGTAACCCCTTAGCCCCCACACACCCCAACTTTAATAATTTAAATAGCACTACCCTACTTGTGGCACATCAAATGAAAGCTATTTTAACAAGCTTTTCAAAACTTTTTACCAAAATTAAATCAGACCATCCATTCATGAGATACAGACTGTTCTAATAAAAACAAACTAGAAAGAATTTGCAAAAAAAACAGGTTATTTTTGTTATATTCGGGGTGGCTCGTTTTCACTGAAACACCCTGTATGTAGTTGTTTAGATTCTTCACAGTTCTATTTCTTGTTCCTAAATTCCCTTCTTCCAAAATTCTTATTTTCTTAGATTTTTCTTTAGGTTTTTTTTTTAAACATTTGATAAACTAGCAAAAAACTGAAAAAATTAATTTTAAAATCACGGCCCATTGTGATCAAAAATTACAATTTTTTTCAATTTTTTTTAAGTGTTTTGGATATTATCAACGTGATGACTTACGATTTCCACGCGATGTGGGCCGGTTTTACCGCCGAAAACTCGCCCCTTTATGGAGGGGTCAACGAGAGTGACTGGCAACAAGAAAATCGCAACGCCGATGCTGCAATTAGGTAAAAAAAATTAAAAAAATTAGAAAAACAAAACATAAAAAAAATAAATTAGGTACTGGTTAGATGGTGGCGCTGATCCTCAAAAGGTCACCATTGGGATTGCCTTTTATGGCCACCATTTCATCCTCGCCGACCCCAGCAAACATGGGCTTAACGACGGCACTGCCGCCCCTGGGGAGCCTGGGCCATACACGGTCAATCTAGGCAGTCTGGGCTACAACGAAGTAACTTGATTTTTTTTCAATATTAAAAGAGTGTCATTTTTTGGGCTATAGTAAAATAACTTGATTTTATTTTAATATTAAAAGAGTGTCATTTTTTGGGCTATAGTAAAATAACTTGATTTTATTTTAATATTAAAAGAGTGTCATTTTTGGGCTATAGTAAAGTAACTTGATTTTTTTTT